ATGCGTGGCGCTGTCTCAGTCTTGATCCTAGCATAGTCACTTGTTCTTAGGATAAGGTTTACTGGCATTATATTTTTATTGTCCAAATTGTCCATTTCTACTCCCTTTAGATGTTCGTACTTGTCAAGGCACTGTTTGTAGCGAGGGTTCTCAAGAGACAGCAGCTCGCGTTTATGAACCTTCGTTACTTCTGTGTTAATAGTAAAATCTCGCTTTAACGAAGATATCTTAACATTGAAAAGTTCCACTGGCTTAGTCGTCACTCCCATCATCATCTCAATTTGTCGTACCTCGCGTTGTTGAGGCGAATTTTCAAACTATCAATCAACGCCGCTGACGCGTTTGAATTTCCAGCATCAGTGTCCAGCAGCGCGAGACACTTTACTTCTTGTGCTTCAACAACAACAACTGCATATATCAAGGTAGATTTTCCCAAAGAGGTGGCTGTCATTAACTGGTCTCCAAGCCTATCGCAGATAGGAGTGTGATGCCTTTTCTGGCAAATCTGGAACAAAGAACGACTTCTGCAATCTACGGCCCTGTGTTTGCTTCCGGTGCAATTGAAACAGAGGTGTTTGTTACTTAGCAACCGTTTGCGTTCGTCTAGCGTGTTCACTGTCTTGCAATCATCTGACCTGTGATCGGGTTTTTCACAATAAACACACTCACGACCTCGCTCGTCTTTCTGTTGTGTCTGGTAAGATTTGTCACGTAACGGCTTCTCATTTGACTTCGTTTGGATTGGATCCCTTTCCGTCCATTTCCTGAGCTTTTCGACAAACTGAGGAAAGTTCCATTCTCGCCAAGAGTCATCCGTCCGAACAAGATCTCCTATCCCTGGAAGTTTGTCGATGGTCATCCGGACGTATCCATTTACCTCTTGAAGTTTTCCCATTGTTTCCAATGACTGCACGTTAAATAAAAGCTTCTCATAAAACTCGTGTATTTTATTCGGCTGAGAACCATTGATTATAGGCAAAGACGTTATATTCTCTACGTACGCGTTCACCACTTCGCTCGGCTTGCGACACTTCCTTTTAAGGATGTGTTTTGCCCGTTCATAGCCTTCACATAAGAACAGCAAGCCATCGATTTCTTTTCTTATCTTGGGATCAACCAAGTCTTTCTGTTGGGAATATTTTGTCACGCCAGGCACTTCAGCTCGGTCGACTTCGGCTTCAAATTGACTCCAAAAACGGGGCCAGTCCGTCAATTCGCCTCTGAACTTAGCTATTACCAGCTTGGGAAGTTTAGTGGTTTTCATTTGATGTGGAGAGTGTTCTGTGGTCTTTGCGTGACTCATTTTCGCCTTCTCTATTTTCTTCTCATATGCCAGCTTCATTTCAAGTTGTGTTCGCTCGAACTCCAGTTGTTTCTTCCTAGACTCCTGTAAAATGGCTTCTTCGGTCTCCTTTGCTAAGAGGTCATCCCTTTGCTTTCCTTCAGCCAAGCAGTTTTTTAAGTATTCGATGTTCACGTCCGCAGCTGTTTGTTTATTTTCCACCCTAGACTCCATTCTGCGACCTCCTCGAATAACTCCCCATTTGCGATTTTTGCCTGCTCTACTTGCACTTTACACTCATCAACTCGTTTTGTTGCTGATCTAAGCGTATTGAGATGGCGCTTCACTCCCTCTAGGTTCCCGTTGTGTTTTGAGAAAGGTTTGAGTGAGTGTGGCTCGATTGTGTATGCTCTATCTTGTTTGCTTTGTAAATAGTCTTTTATGCTGTATATAGTCTTTTGGTAGTATTTTAACTAGTTGGGAGGCGGGGTTCGATTCGCTGGCGAATTTGGCGGGCTGGCTCCGTTTGGAGGTGCCCCCTCCCATTTTGGCCGTCTCTTACCCCTGTAGGTTACCCTGTTTTGTTTTCGTTTTGTCGGATTAGTTTCGCTCCCTTCGTTTTTATGGCCTTGGGGCATCGCACTACGCCCCTCGGACCGCCAAATTACAAAAAACACGGGTTTTCCCTGTTCACTGACCGACGGCTATGCCATGCCATATGTTTGATTTTACATACGTTTTCATTTTCAATGATCTTTGACAAAGCCGGGGAAGGGGAGACAAAGGGAGACTAGGTAGCTCCTAGGACCTGACCAAAACCGTGATCAAATAGTCGTCAGTCGCCAGTCGAGCACAAGAAAAATCAATGTAGATTTTTCATTCTAGCAAATACGTTGGTTGCCCCTAAAATGGTTACAGTTTTGCGCCAAAACGAAACGCAAGGTACACATCTAGTATTCCCTTCCCTGCCCTACCACTACCACTACCATCAGCGTCCGTACGGATGGTCTTCTGGGCGTACGCTGAGGTCATGACCAAATTTTGTGAGATTCATAGGTTCCCGAATTTCTACTCTATGCCGCTAGACCTGTTAAGCTCACATATGTAGGTAAAAAAGTCAATACCATTCATGTTTTTTACTGCTGAGAACATAATCCGTTCTACACCAGCATGCTTCATGAATTATTTCGAGCGAGGCGAGGTGCGAAGCGCCTCGCAAAAGCGAATATATGATTTTGTCGCTCGCGAGGATCGTAAGCAGAGTGCGATTTTGATCCTGTCATAAATCTTTCTTTCTATTGGTTTGGTATCTGCAGTTGCCTAGCAACAAAGTCGCGACGGCGTTCACATTGACGTCACCAGTGTGAGATCAACGAGTGAGAACCGGTTTGCTATCGATGACAAACAGTGCGCTTTCATGTTTTATGCATGAAGAGCTAATGTGTAAATCATTGTCCGTGAAAAAAATGTTTACTATCGGTGAAGTCCCAATTGACGTCAGCAGCGTAAAATCATCCTAAGCAGGCTGTTATTTTGCTTCAATCTGTCATAAATTTTTCTGTCAATCGGTTTGGTATCTGCAGTTGCCTAGCAACAAAGTCGCGACGGCGTTTCCATTGACGTCACCAGTGTGACATCAAGGAGTGAGAACCAGTTTGATATCGATGAAAAACAGTACACTTTCATGTTTTATTCATGAAGAGCTAATGTGTAAATCATTGTCCATGAAAACAATGTTTACTAACGGTGAATCACTAATAATTACACTAGCTAACGAAAGAGAAGAGCAAACGCAACAATGGTAGAACATTGAAGCAATTTGGGCCAGAAGTTTCAAAAAAGGATCGAACATTAAGATACAAAAGCAATTTTCTGTGCGTCTCACTTTGCAGACACGTTTGCTTATGAATATGTCGCACTATGCTTCTCCAAAGTGCGTCTAAGTTTGGCCCTTTAATTACCATCGAAGCCTTGTCTTTTTTCGCTGAAGTCTAGTTTGGAATTCCTTTTACACTGTGGAAAACCCAAATTTATTAGTTTGCCGGCTTCCCCGCCGATATATAGATCAAGGTTTCAGCTCTATCTGTACTACGGCCCGAAGTACACGAACTGCACTGCCGGCCGCCGAAATAATGCTCAATATGCTTTAAAATACACGTTTAAAAATAAAACCACACAATAAGCAAAAAAGAAGAATAAAAAAGAAAGAACAAAGCATGTACCTTCACGATGATATGCGTGGTGGACCAAACCTTGCCAAACGGATTCAATCTGTCACTTCGCATAAAAATTTCCTTTTTGGCGATTTCCCTCAGTCTATGTTCCTAGATTTAGCAACTCAGGAGGAGATTGTGGATATTGCATGTACGTCTCCGGCGGGAAAATCGGCAGGGTATGACAACATTCCCATGCATGTCTATTATAAAACGATCTATTGGCAGCATTTCCTCCTAACTCACATTATAAATCTCTCTATTATCCACGGTATCGTTCCAGATTAATTGAAAATTGCTCGTGTGGTTCCTATTTTTAAATCAGGTGACAAAGCTCTCTTCAGTAATTACAGACCTATTTCAGTTCTACCTTGCTTTTCAAAGTTTTTGGAGCGAATAATTTACAACCGTATCATAACTTATCTCAATGACTTCAATGTACTTTGTGATAATCAATATGGCTTTAGGAAAAATCGTTCCCCTAGCCTCGCGCTTATCGACTTGTGTGATAAAATTTCTTCTGCTTTTGATAGAAGAGAACATGCCATTGAAGTATTTTTAGATCTTTCGAAAGCATTTGACACGGTAAATCATGTCATCCTTTTTGACAAACTGGAGCATTATGGGATCCGTAGTCTGGCACTAGAATGGGTAAAAAGTTATTTCTCGGAGAGGAAACAATTTGTCGAATTTAACAATGGGGATGGGGATTTTCTGTGGGGTGCCTCAAGGCTCTATTTTTTGTCCTTTATTTTTTATCCTGTACGTTAATGATTTGAACAACGCTTCCATGCTTGATGCAATTTTGTTTGCTGATGATACAAACCTATTTATCTCTCACAGTGATCCTGTTTACCTAATTAATACATTAAATAGAGAATTCAACAAATTGTCAACTTAGTTTGCCGCAATTATATTACTAGGAACGCCCACTCATTTCGTTTGCCACTATGCAGAACGAACACCAGACAGTTCTCAATTTATTTCCCAGGTCCAAAGTTTTATAATTCGCTAAATTCTACTATAACTGGTTCGTCCTTCTCTGCTTCTTTTAAAAGAAAGCTTAACGAATTCCTTCTTGTACGTATTAGCTTCAGTATGGCACTAAGTAGATTATTGGATCAATTAATTTAACATGTGTGTGTGTGTGTGTATGTGTGTATGTGAGTCCGCGGTCAAAGTTAGGCATCATAAGCCCATATTGTAATTATATTATCAAGACTAGTTTATCCTAAGTTGAGGAGACCTGACTCATTATAAGCCTTGTGGTTTCTTTCAGGTCTCCTCGCCATATACTTTTTCTTTAATCTTATTATTCCAACCTTGCATTGTAAAATTTTGTATATATGGCAAATAATGCATGAATGAACGAACGAACGAATGAATGAATGAATGGTGGGTGCCCCATACAGTTCCTAACCCCGCCCGACAGGGCTTAACTTTCGTTCCTCTACTAAACCGAGTTTCGCAAGGGTTATTGCGAGATACGTATTTTTACTTTAATCTCACTCACATTGCACAGTGATGAAGACATCAATGATTTTAATGGCTATACCATTATCAGCACTGCATCTGTAACCTCCCTCATCGTGTCTTCTGACGACCAGAGGAAAGGTGACGGGACTGTTACTAGAGAGTCTTGTCCAAGTGATGTTTGGAGGTGGATTACCATCAGCTGAACAGTTAAGCATCACCACATCTCCCTCATTTGCTGTCTGGTTATTAGATACGTATGTAATGGTTGGTGGACCTAACAAGTCAATAAAAGGACAATAAACGAAGACGACGGGTTTTCAAATCAGTCCATCCTAGTTTAGTCTTTCATCATATGTACTGTCCTTGCCGAGAGTCCATCTGGAAGCGTTTCATTGAATAAGTTCTTATTGAAGGCCTCAGTGCAAAGACGGCACCCACATATCTCGCTAACTTTCCAATGCGCGCAGCACTAACCAAATTTTGTCTTTCCCTTTTTTGGGGGTAACAAAACAAATCTTAAAAATTTCCCCGCTGATTTCCATTCCCCTAGGCCGGACTCAGGCGGCAAAAAGCGTCAACCTTTCTGGCGGTTTCTTCTGTGGCCAAATAATGTCTACACAACACAATGCTGTAGCATGTTCGCTCACTCGGCAAAATTGACGAAAATGGCGAATTTGACAAAATTGGTAAGGATAGAAATGTGATGGTGAATTTTGTGCCTGGTGAATACATAAAAAAAGATGTTTTGTCAGTCAGTGACACAGGTGGCTCGCCTCCCAATGGGAGCCGCCTCTGTGATCTTCTGGTTACCAGTCCATATGCACTACCACTAACCTACAGACCTTTCAGCACCTCACTATGTCGAGGTGCCCGAAAGAGATACGGAAAATCTTGTTTAATTTGACAGCTGAAGCTGACAGAGTTTTGTGTCAACTTGTGATGTCTTTAACTGTCTTTTTCCACTGGATGTACAAAATGAAATTCAGCTGCTATCAAGAGTACAGTCTTCTGTTATTCATGGCTGGTTTGTTTATTGGGTATTTGGTTGAGAAATACGTTACTTTTCAAAGTCGGAAATTCGATTTCGGGTGGCATTGTTTTCGTTTTTCACCTTCGTTAATGTGTAAAGAGGGTTGAAAAGTCTGAAGCGATACTGGCCTTACTTGATACCTTTCAGGGGCTGCATCTCGAAAGGTAAGCCTGAGTAATTATTGCATGATAATTGATGTTTGTTTTTATATCTAATTTAATGAAGTCGAGCGTAGTTTATGCGACTATTTTGTTTATGTACGTTTGTAAGATTTGAGACAATGACCTGACCGAGTATCAGGTTTGATATAAGCTTACAGAACTTTTAAAAAGCCTTTAGACATTTTCTCACCGCAAATAGAAAGAAAACGTTCCAAATAATATTTAGTTATAATTCTGGCTTTAAAAGAAAGATCAAAAGAAAGCTTTGAGCGATTTTCTTGAGTTCATCTTTGAAAAAAGCAAACACCGGGAAGCCGGCTTAAAACATCTTTAAGCTTGAAGACTCAGGATTTTTAGAGACACTTAAATACTTGTGTTCGTGGATGAAAATTGCTGTCTCTGTGATTTTGGAAATTTTTTTAACGGTTTAGCTAAAAGCCCACGCATGCTTTGATCGTCCTGAATATTGAATGAGTGCAATTTGTTTTGCAAAATTGTGAAATACTGCATTCTGTCCGAGGTCTGTATTATAAAAACAGTACATTGTGTACTGTTTTACCTCAGATGTGATGTATAAATGGTATAAAAGGTTGGTTTACACGCACCCAGATTTGTTGCAAGATTTTGCAAAGTAAACTTGTCGAACACAAAAAATTCGGCCTGATTGTTTTTCCAGACCTAATTAATCTACGGTGATCAAGAGCCATCATGGCTTTTAAATGCGATCGAAGATGATTGCCAATTTTTAGGTGTACATAATTTATGAGGCTATCGACTCGATGTAAGATTTGGTTCACTCTTGGGCTGTTTGCAAATTATTTTTCTCCAAAATCACTTAGCCTTTCCCTCAAAAGTCACATAAATGTGCTCTAAAGTAAACTGAATTGTGGAATACAAGTTTATTGTCTGATTTAAATTATAGCGGAGCTCTGGCGCGCGAAGCGCGCCTGCGGAGCACCATGGGTAAGTAAATCTACCCATCCCAGAAAATTTGGTAATCACGTGACCGACCGACCGAGCGACCGACCGTCCGTCCGCACCACAGGCATACCAATGTTTACTCACACTTTCTAGCTACTTTGAAAGCCCAGGAGAAAGCTGATTGCACATCAATGTTGTTATCAATTGACAGCTGTCAAAACAGGGTATCCGCTGACCAGTATCAGCTGACCGTATCGCGGGCTCAGGTGTCGAAGTTATCCGCTGACAATTTACTCGTTTTCAAATGATCGCAGGCTCACGTTTACTTTTTTTTAAAATTCATATGGGCTCCTGTTCATATCAAATATGTTGTGTTTATGTCAGTATCGCCCCGCACTATTACGATTTTGATTTCAAACTGACCTCAGACGCAAAAATTCAGCCAGTTTTTTTAAAATACAGGTGGGGAAGACCTTTTCTAACCATGGACACCTGTTGGTCACGCTCCACGTGCAATTTTTATGCTCTGATTGGTTAAAATTTGACAGGTGAGTTCATGCATAAAATTTATGCAGCACCTTGAATCTTGTTTACTTTGACAGCTGAAGCTGACAGAGTTTTGAGTCAACTTGTGATGTTTTTAACTGTCTTTTTCCACTGGATGTAAAAAATGAAATACAGCTGCTATCAAGAGTATTCTCTTATTCATGGCTGGTTTGTTTATTGGGTTTTTTTTTGAGAAATGAGTCGCTTTTCAAAGCCGATAATCCGAGTTCAGATGGCATCGTTTTTGTTTTTCACCTTGCTGGATGCGTACGAGAATTATGAAGGCTCAAGCGATCCTTGCCTTACTTGATAGCTGTCAGGGGCTGCATCTCGAAATATGGTAAGCCTGAGTAATTATTGTATTTATATCTAATTTCATGAAGTCCAGCGGCGCAGTTTATGAAGCTAGTTTATGCACGTTTGTATTAAGATTTGACTGAGATACTGATCTGACCTAGTATGAGGTTTGATATAAGCTTAAGCTTACAGAACTTTAAAAAGCCTTTAGTCGATATTAATTCACCGTAAATAGAAAGAAAAAACTTTCTGAAGAATATTTAGTTATAATTTTGGCTGTAGAAAGAAAGCTTTGAGCGATTTTCTTGTCGTGAGTTCATCTTTGAAAAAAGCAAACACCGGGAAACCGGCGGCTTAAAACATAAACTTAATCTTTAAGCTTACTAGTAAAGACTTGAGGATTCTTAGAGACACTTAAATACTCATTTGTTTTCGTGAATGAAAATTGTTGTCTCTGTAAATGTTCTACCGAATTATATTTCTTTATTGATTGTTGGTATTCTCAAAAGTGTAATTTTCATCGCTTTGCCGTTTGTTTTCAGGCGTTCATAAACATCGCTTGCAGGAGCACTCAAAATGCCGAGCGTATCAAACGCTTTTTAAGATTACACATCGTTATAAAACCATTAATTAAAAAATAGACTCAACAAATTCTTTATCACGTTGAAGCGTAACTCTTTTAAAATTTCTTCGCAAATTTGGCGCTTGTCAAAAGTTTGAACTGGCTGGCCGTATAGGTGATTTTGGACATTTTTTGAACGGTTTCGCTAATTAAAAGTCCACGCGTGCTTCGATGGTCCCGAGTATTGCAAAATTGTGAAATACTGCATTTTGTACCGAGGTCTGTATGATAAAAACAGCGCCTCATAGTACCCTTTCTCCTCAGATGTGGTGTATAAAAAAAAAAAAAAGAATGGTTTGCACGCACCCAGATTTATTGCCAAGAATTTGTAAACTTGTCGAACGCAAAACATTCGGCCTGATTTATTTTCCAAGAATTTGTTTCCCACGCCTTATCTACTGTGATCAAGAGCCATTATTGCTCTTAAATGTGACCGAAGACTATTTTTTGGGTGTACATATAAGGCTATATCAACTCGATACAAGATTTGTTTCGCTCCAAAATCACTTAGCTTTTCCCTCAAAAGTCACATGAATGTGCCCTTAAGTTAACTGATTTGTGGAATACAAAGTTATAGTTTGATTTAAGTTATAAATTTATCAATGGGAGCTTCGCTTTTAGCTGTGGCTAAATCTATATATTAAATTTATTAATGGGAGCCTCGCTTTTAGCCCTGGCTAAATCTATATATTATGCTTGTACACAATATTGTATTAAACATGAGCACCACGCATACCTGAGTACTGTCTGTCAACAACTTCAGAAAATCACACAATTAACCGTATTCGCAGCACTGATAAAACCATCCACAACCAACCAGGCAAAATGTCTCCACACTTAATACGGGCGAAATATCATGAAATTACTCTCTCTCTCTCTCAACAACTCTCTCTCGGCCACATAAATCATCATCACATGTAAGCTTTCCTGGCACAGTCGATTTATTCAAGATCCTGCATGTACATAAGCGACTTTAAAAAGGAGACATAAAGAGCCCGGTCAATCGAGTAACAGTGGAAAGAGAGACACTCCTAGATTGCTGCGAGGAAACATCCAGACCACCACCCTAGAGACGTAACAAATACTAAGGACCAAACCAGTCCAAAACAAGTACGTGAAATGATGGAGCTTGATTACAGTAAGATTCACCATAGTCGCAAGATTTGTGGAACCGAACAGCTGAGTTTATAGAAGATAAACGCTTAGGTGACATACTCAATATGGGCCTGCACAAAAACGCAAATGGAAGCTGGGAAGCACCTCTACCCTTCAAATCTGATGATCTATCTTTAGCAGATCCAAGACCTGTTTGCCTGCAGTGCCGCCTTCGAGAACGAGTCGCTAAAGAAGTACCTACTCCAAGGTCCAGATCAGTTTAATTCCCTGATCGGATTGCTGACACGATTTAGAAAAGAAGAAGTTTCTTTCACTTGTGACATTGCGCAAATGTTTCACAGCTTTTACGCTAACCCTAAGGACAGGACTTTCTGCGCTTCCTGTAGTCCGAAAGCAACGACCTCACAAAACCAGTTGTTGAATACCGAATGAATGTACACCTTTTTGGTGCAGCATTGTCACCTGGCGTAGCTACCCCTTGAAGTTCTGCCTGCATCAAACAGCAGAAACTCTCAGAGAGGAGTTTGGACGACGCTTCAGACTTTCTCTTAGGACATTTCTACGTGGACGACGGTTTAAGCTCCGTCCCCACAAGCAATATTTCTGCCACTTTTGTTGCAATTCTTAGTTTTCAGTTTTTTTCAAGGACCCAAGACTTTTGATTCACTTGAAAACGAAATTGTCAACTCTCTATCCCACCTTAATTTACGCCATATTTTGCTTGGCTTGATGTAAACAACTACAGCCAGTAGCTCGAGGTAGCCTAACCTCTCATGATCTTCTATTTTGCCGTGAATAAAAAAGAATAATAACGATGATAATTACATAGAATAATGCTAGCGTAATGTATTACAAAATTGTTTCTCGTAAATCTTGTGACTTTTATACAATGTGTATTTTTTTCAATCTGGAAAAAAGGACCGTCTACCAACTCTGCTAGCTACCAGTCAAGGCCTTTCCATAATTAGTTTCCAGCTTTTTATTAATAAGATTGATATTCACATTAACCAAACATGAAAGTAAAAATGCATATATGCCTTGTTCTTAAGGTGACTCCCATATTAAAAAAGGCGCATTGATCTATGACGAACGTTCTGTCAACTTTTTCAGCTAATTCACATTAATTTAGGTACGTAAGATGCCATTATTATATGGCCATGTCTGTTTTGCCCATGCGAAGTTGCAGTCCGTAACTTGCTAGACGGACCAATATCTCAACATTAAATGCTCACTTCGCAGCTCGAAATCTGTTAATCTCGAAAAAACGATTAACGAAAGCATAGTTAATTGAGTGGAATGGTTATGAAACCCGTCAGACTCCTTTGTTATATGTTTTTGTGGACCTGAAAGTGCACAACGTTCAAAAGAATTCCTATCATTTTGATTGTATTGACCAATAAAAACGTTGCATTAATTTATTCCGTAACAATTTGCCAACAGAAAACAAAGGATTGTGCACTTTCACGGTGCTTTGAACATAAACTGCAGCACTGTTGTTTTTATCATTGATGTTTGCCGCTTTTCATAACCAGTCTCCTCTAATAACTATGACGAAAGTTATAAGATGTCTGCCAACCTTGAGGACTTGTATGTTGACCACGTCCTTCAACATTTTAACCTGTGATTATTTCTGAACAAAGGCGATGAAGAAACTGATTCGTTGTCTTTTCGAAGAAGAGGATTCTAGTCAGTGTTAGTCAAAATTTTATCGCAGTTCACAGTTAAGAAGACGAAAATGTACTAGCAGAGATTCGAGACCTTTTGTCAAAGAGAAAACAAGCGATTTCTTCAACAAATATGTGACCCTCCACAGGATTTTAATGCTAAAGGTGAAAGCACGCGCACGGCACGCTTTCACTTTGAAACAAAAGAATTCGAACAAAAGAGCGTGTTAAAGTTTTCAAACAAAAGCCCCGTGCGAAAAAGCACAACACGCTTTCAGTGTGCGCAAAAACACGCAAGGCGTGTTATCTATAAGCTAAATAAATTTCCTCTACAAAAAGGAACC